GGGTTATACTATGTAAACAAATGTGCCACGCCCGTATTATCAGTGTTAGTAGTGCACTTGTTGCATTCTTGTGAATTTGAAGTATATAATATTAATCTAGACTTTTTTGTGTGTTTTTCTTCAGTGTTTTTTAGTTTTAAGTGTTATATAGTATTTTTAAGCCATAAGGGCACTGTGATTTTTTATTATTATTGTCTTAAGGACAAAAGATTGTTTATTATAGTATTTTAAGCCATAAGGGCACTGTGATTTTTTATTATTATTGTCTTAAGGACAAAAGATTGTTTATTATTGTATTTTTAAGCCATAAGGGCATTATTGAGTTGTCATAAGGACAAAAAACTATTTTAATATTTTTTTTTGTTGTTCACTTTACTTTGTGTCTAGTATTATTTAGGTTTAGGTAGCAGCCCTGGCCAGCGGTTTGCAGTTCTTCGGTTTGTGAGTACTTTTTATTTATACCATATTTTATTGAGTTTGTTTTATTTGTATTTTGGTTAACTACTGTGAATTATTAGAACATATTTTGATCTCATTTACTAAATACGAGTTAGGGCGATAGACATAAGGTTAATCGTACCATCTATATTGCTAGTTAGCCATAAGGGTTCAATCTAGTCAATAATCAATATTTGTATTTGTGAATAATTTTTGTTGTTCTAATAACCACCTTAGTTGTCAAAATACTTTTAACGTCATAAGCTTTAAGCACTCACTTAATTTACCTTTTAATCTAGTCATTACTATATTAATTATTTATTTGTGTTTGTGAATTATTATTCACAGACCAGATTAATTTATTATTGTGCCAAAAGGGCAATTAATTCCTTTTAGTTTACCAATCTTTTATTTTATACTAATTATTTATTTGTGTTTGTGAATTTTATTCACAATTGTATCTTGAGCCAAAGGGCTAATTATTTATTTATTACCATTTATTATAGCATTTTATTGAATATTATTATTATTATTATATCATCGAGTTTGAGTTTTATTTATTTAGTTTTTAGTTATAGTTTTAAGTTTCCTACACATCCACACTATACACACTAAACACACTTTTGCACCACATAGCTCACTGGTCTTGCGTAGGCGATCCCTCACACTTCCAGTGAGACTATTTACCCACTACCCACACAGCACTGATCGGTAAGTGTAAAGCAATTGGTAACCGGGTAAGTCTATTATTGTCCCCCCCGGCCCGTTCAATTATAATATATGAAATGTTTTTGAAAACGCTACCTATGCATTAATAGCGTGCACACCGTGTCAAAAATACAGGTTGATATATAAACGTTTCGCATCGAAGGTAAGATGTCAAAACTATAACCGCACATTCATATTCATACCACGATGGTTACAAAAGAAATCATAAAGTGGCTTGAAGTTGTTCAAGAATACATATATTTAAAACTTAAGGTATCCACATTTTCGCGGTGATCCGTTTAACAATTGGCAATTGTTTAATAGGTACAGTGATTTAGAAATAAGTGTACACATATTTTAACTATAGATAAAATAATAAAATATAATATATTATTATCCCTTCGGTGCTGTAAAAAATGATATATTTGTGTTGGTATTTCGATTGAACACGAATATTATTTTTATGGAAAAAAATTAATAATAAAAAAAAATCTCGAAAAAGTTTTTAATATAAAGGATAGGCCGGATATTTTTATGTTTGTTTAACTTAAATTCTATTGTTAGAGAGGTTTACGTCGGGCAACTTTCGAAAAGTTAAATGTAAACTCTTATTTGTGATTCAAGAGTCCTAATAAAAAGTTTTTTTTTATTACAGAATACTATTATACCTGGTTGAAAACGATAAAATCATTTTTTTTTTTATCTTTATAGCCTACAAGATAATTAAAATGGAGATTTTTTTTTGTATTTTACTACAAATGCACGTTTAAAAGCTATGGATTTTATTACTGTTCTATCTACATCTAAATGCGTTTCTTTGTAGACCACTACATATTATGTATGTATTGTATGATTGTCATAGAGCTATTACTATTTTGACTTATTGTGTTTGTTGGGTGTGGCGCAATAGAACGTGGGCTAGTTAATCATTGTTGGACACCGGCAAAATGTCGGTATGCGAAAACAACGGTTGGGTAGTATATTTTACATAAGTGACAAAAGCCAATATAATCATAATATATATATATATATATCCGATGACCGATTTTTGGACATCGCCCAAAGCACTGTTGGTTGCGCATATTGGCATGCGGGCCATGTGCACCGAAAAAAAGAAAATGATAAATAAATAAGGGAGAAAACTAAAAACACAAAGATCATAAAGCACAATTTATAGCCTTAGTCGGTCGTTGCTTCGAGGCAAAACAGACGTGTGACATGTGCGATCGACAGAAACGCGTTATACCGAAAATTAGTTTTCACCTCTAATTTGTTAGTGTTTTTTTTTTTTAATGAAAATTTATACTTGCTTTACAAACATTTATTTATGTGGTTTTACACGGTCTTCGTTGGAATGCCAGCGTGTACCAAAAATAATATCATATCAAACGAGGCTCGAGTGGAAATTTTAATCTTACAAATAAAAAAATAATATAGAAGAATACACAGATTTTTTTTATAGTGCGTCATGACAGTTGTGTTAATGCATATTTAAATACATGTATTTTTTTTAATCAACACATTCGATTGTTGCAACCACTTTGAAAAAAACATTTTAGATAAGTTTTAGATCTATTTCAATGTCGCGCTAATTTCATAACATATAATATTATAATATAAAAATACATTATATAGTGTATAAATAACAATTTATTAAAGTACAGAGGTAATGGAAAAAACCCTATATCGTTAAACCAATAACGCCTATAAAAAGCTGTCTCTGAAATTTATTTTATCTATTAACATTTTTACTGATTGAATATGAGTGTTACTACAGTGTTTACTATAATACAATAAAGTAAGTAACTTTACGGTAATACTATGAACGATGATATTTTGGAAAAATAAGAAAAATGTAAACCGTCGTGAAGTGCGACAGTTTTACATTTTAAGTATCGCGTTTTAATTGGTTAAATTGAATAAACTTCGTTAAATGTGTTGTTTCTTACACTTCTCGAGGGTTTTAAAACTTAAGCAGCAATACTTATCGGTTGGTGCTTTCACAAAAAAAGACAGAAACAAATTCAAAACCCAGCGTATTTGTACTTGTAGCCTGTAGGCTACTTAAAGTTCAACTATAAATTCGAAGTGTTTTAATAATATTATATTTGACAACTCTTTTGTTATTGTAATTTTACTCAATGTTCGCATAAATAAACTAGTTACATAAAATACACAGCAGCACTCTATGGCCGATAGTCTATCCAGTAAAATATATTAAGACAGCATACAACTTCATATTGACTCTGTGTCGGAGTAAGTGTTTTCCATGTGTGAGAAAGAAAAACAGCAACATAAGACGTACTGTACCTACACATTCAAACAAAAAAATTCCAAATACAATTATAGAAATTTCAATTGATTGTTCAAAGTATATTATATACACGTATACACTTAAATAAATATAAGTTTATGTTTTAAAATGTGTATTGTGTTTACTTTAAGTTTAACAAAAAGAGTCAAGACTATTATGAAGATGTCATGTGTGTATATTAGTATTTTTTATTCCTTTGTACATACATTTCAACTTTGGTAGTTTTATGCCTTTAATGTCAGATAATAGTATTATAATTAAGATTTAGATAACTTACTTGTCTGCACGCTGTATTTAAACGGCTGGCAAGAAACTTTTTCTTAATATGATCTTCACGTATGTGGTAGTGCCCGTTAATATTTAAGTACGGCGTTTTATGACCTTGCGTGAATACACCTAAGCCCGATCCCTCATATTATACTTAAGCATATAATAAAAAAATTCTTTTAAGGTTTTTCGCGTACCTACACTAGTCTAATCTTTATATGTTGTTTATTATTACTTTATTTTTATACGTGATAACACTTTGTTTTCTCGTCGAACTCACACTCAAGTGAGTATTTTAATTAAAAAATGTTATAAAAAGTAAATAATTCAAAACTAAATACTAATAAGTGAACTACGATGGTAATATTTAAAGAAACCTCATACCAGTAGTGCCATCAAATAAGCCGCAGAAAATAAAAACTGAATCCAAGTGTAAATTATTCAAAAATAATCGGATTATCCATTCTTAATTAAAAAAAATAAAACAAACAAAACCCAGAACATTGAATTAAATAACCGTAATATCTTATTTAAGTGTATTATCATGGCTAATGATATTGTCTTATCTAACGACACTGGTCGGTAAGTTAACCGATTAAATATGGAGAAACAGCATCCAACAACGGACAATAACCATAATAGTTCCACTGATTGTTATCAAAACGACTAGGCAGCGGTTTTCGATGCTAGTGTACCTATTAAAACTAAATCACAAGTTCTAATGTCCATTAAAAAAATGAATAAATTACAAAACTTTATCTGAATACATGAAGTGCTTTATACCTTTTTACTGAATAAAGTTTTTATTACAACGAAAACCACATTTATATATTTTATGATCACGCACTGTTGGTTAAAAAAAACAACAGTGCAATATTGTTTATTTTCTAGTGATGAGACGACTGTATCAGTTAAATGGTTTATTTTTCAGATTGTTTCGTTTAGTTGTCAATGTGAATATAATTATTTTAGCTAGTTGTCTAGGTACCCTCGATCAACAAGATGTTTTTCGCTTTTGCCGGTTCAAGTTGGTGCTACTCAGATATCACTGGTCAACTTTTTACGGATTTCACCGTGTCGATACGTTTAATTGTAATTTACTTGCTACCGTCGTGCACTCTACACAGCTGTCGTTTCTTCCGGCCTTTCCCCTTTTGATGTACTGCAGATGGATAAGGAAACGGTCAGGAAATGGCTCTTCGATAAACCACAGCTAACGGCTCGCCTAACTCGTTTCCACAGTGTTGGTCTCGCCGGAGCCTCCAGACATTTGCTAATTCTTGGCTGGTCCTTCGGGAACGGCCATTGCATCGCTTCCCGGAGAAATTAATTCCATCAAGTCTTTCCCAGGACCCGTGGATGTCTTGTGAACATCTTCGATTGAGCAATTCGAAGACGTTACCCAGACACGGCCCGACGACACTGGACCGAACGGGCGACTTTCAAAAAGCCAAGTTTCAATAATCATGTCTTCAGTTTCTATCGGTTTGTCTTCCTCCAGGTCTGACACGTCGACTAATTATCGATGTTCGGTCATTTTGTAGCAACAAACAATAAATTAACGAAAATGTTATTTATATATTCAGATAATATGTATAAAAAAATAATAAAAATATTTGTTTTTCCCAAAGCTTTACCCCCTCCCTTTCCTACAAATTGATTGTTGTCAATTAACAATTAATATCAACAGTCTAACATGAAATTGTTTACAGTTTAAAAAAATAACATTAAAGCTTAAATATGATACTTGAAAATCTTTCTTAGGCTATATGGTAATAACATTTTTTATTTTGGCAATTAGTAAAGTTAGTCCCAAATAACCTTTTCTCGGTGTATTGGGCGCCGGAAATAAAGATAGTAGTTAAGTTGAGTCCCGGAAAAATTTTTTTAAAAAAAAACAAGCACAGTTTAAGCCAGCGTGCAGTCCGAACTAGTACAGTATAAACCAAGCTCAATTATAAATTAGCATATAATGGTTCAAGCAAGGTATTTAATTTTAAAGTGATTCAATCGCATTCGGAAGCTTCGATGCGAATCCGTAGATAGTATAACCTAGCACAGTCTAAATCAGTACAACTTAAACTATTTTACAACAACTTAAGCTGTTTACTGTTTACCGACTGTATAAATATTTTGCACGCACAATAAAAATATATACATCATGTACTACTTGTAAAGCGTACATTACTCAGGGTACTGTATAGTATTTTCCACTGGGGTTCGATTTCTATTAATAATAAGCTTCTATGTGACCGTATAACGATACGCTTGTTTAATGTGACTTGTTAAAACCCGTTCAAGTTTCATCGCATAACTCGAGTATAATTCACAATTACTAAAACTTTGGCATTTACATTTAATGTTGCACACCACGGATGTGAGTTGAACTCAAGATGAAATAACCACCGATACATCAAGCAGTTAATAGCAAACAGGATAGATATATAACAACTATTGTAGGGACACTGTACCATTTGTTAGAATTTACCGACTCGTCTAAAATCAAACTTAATAATAAATATTATCTACGTTTAATGGTTATTGTGATGTTGTATTGTACATAAACTCACATTACTTTGAAACTCTAAACTAATAAATACAAATTTTTGTTATAAAGCAGAAATGTTTAAATAAGTAGTTAAAAAAAATCTGTTATAATTGGAACGCAATTTAGAAATAAAAAAAAAATCGTTAGCTACTTAACATGATTTCTATTATTAATGAATTGTAAACAATTAAATAGTGTTTTATAATGTAAATCAGATTATTCCCCGGCATTAGAATATAATATAATAAAAATATTATACCTGACCAATGTATTTTGATCATAACATATTGTATGCCATGGAACTCAACGTTCACACTAAAGGAACATTAATTTTAACAAGGGGTTGTATTACACATGCTATAAATTATTCACACCGTGTAAAACGAAATACATAAAATTGAACAATATAAGAGATGAATACACACAAATACTTTTATTACACACAGTAACTTGAAACTTCAGTCACCGTCCCATGTGCTACTATATCAAATTTATCATAAACATTACCTAAGGATTATAAATATAGTATGTTTGTAATAGCATTTTCTCTGTGTGTTTAAAATTGTAAAGCATACAACACATTTTACAATTTTTAAATGTACTTAATATCTACTATAGAAAAGGAAGTGTCGATTAATATTTAAAAAGGAGATACTGATTTCTAACACGAGTGAATGCGGTATATCCGCTTTGCTAAGGTTTTCAAGTCTGTTAGGTTTGTGCTCATTTAACCAACTTGAAAACATTTTTACATATTTAACCCTCCGTTAGTGTGTTGGGGTTTATTAAACCCCCGCGGTGCAAATAAGTTTATTAACAACCCTGGGACATAAGATTTCTAAATATTTTTAGACAACACAACACTAACGAACGATTAAGAGTACTTCTTATTAAACATGTTTTATACTGAAAACACGAGTTTGACAGACTGTTTAGAGTCTCGACACCAGCGTGTATATTATATTATATGAGGCCATTGAGGTAAAGAAATGTCTTGACAGTTTCTTAAAAAATATCTTGTCGTGACAGCACTCAACAGTAAAATAGTGTTAGTTAGCAAACATATTTGTTAGTTGCTTTCATGGCTTCGTGTCATATGTGCAACTACAAACAAAACATTAGTTTTTCATTTAAATAAACAATTTTAACAGTATTTCTCTCTCTTGGAAAACAACAACATGACATATCTTTTATGAAAACTTTTTAAATAAACTATTTTTAAACTGTCGTAATGTAATTACATTAAATTCAATTGCAATTGAAAATGTAAATAAAATGTATTGCAAATGTTTTTTTTTTTTTTCAAACCGAGTACAATAAAAATTAGAAAATACCAAAATTAAATTCTAATTATTGTGATTATTATTATGAAAATAATTAAACATCAAGTACATAATATGTTGTAACAAAAGGTTTAAAGCTTAGACGTATATATTTTCATTCTATGAAATAATAATATGAAAGACATCAGTTGCCTAATAAAAATAATGATGGATACAGGATATAGTTCAGACGGTTTTCTGTTAAATTTAATTATCCTAGACATTTGCGTTCTTAGAAAAATGTATTTTTTATTAGTTGCTTTTTAGACGAGTACCCGTTACAACAAAATATTTAAGAATAAAAATAATATAGCTATAGTAATAACAATATATAGTTACTAAAATCATTTGATACTTTATTGTTACCTATTCATACGCTTAGACTTTTTATTATAATAATATTGAACACGAGTTGTAATCTTATACATAATTTTACATAGTTCGTACAATGTATAATATATGTTTTAAATACGAATAAACAAGTAAGATAAGAGTGTTGTTATTGTATTATTGTAATTTAAAAATCTGTAATTTCTGAACGCTTTGACGTCTTTGGCCTTTTCAACACTACTGTATTATTATAGTGTACTATGTACACCACGGTTTAAAAATTGTAAGCAAACAAGTAAACGCCATTTTTTATGCATAAAATATCGACCCTGGCGCTAGTTTTTACGTCCCGTGAACGTTGTTGACCATCATAAATAACTAAATAGTCCCACACCCAAGACTGCAGGTGCTCTCAACCGTTTGTGCAAGCATAATATACGATGGCCATGTGCTTTTGTCGGTTACGCCCATCTTGTTCGTAAAACCTTAAGTACATAGGTACTGAAACTAACTTGAAGGTGTAAATAGGAAACCATAACACAAATAATATTTGCAAATGGCTTATCGTCAGAGATGCCAAGATTATCATTATTTTTTTGCGACTAAGAAATTTTAAATCCAATTAAATGTATTTTAAATTGCCATTCAGAGTGTTAGTTGCTGTATGGGTTTACTGCGGTCTAAGTAATGAAAATAGCACGCCTATACCATTCGGCTAGATCGTAGAAATGATAAACGGACTTAAGGGATTTGTATGTTTTTATTTTATTTGCCCATCAAAATATAGCCTTAAGATCTCCGATCAGATATATTGCGACAACAGAAATTTAAAATGTTCAATTTTTCTTTTTTATCTCAAATCAAAAACGGCCAAACGTTAACCAACGGAAAACCCCTTTCCAGATTACACTGGTGCGGTACGCGGCTCACACGGGTCGTCTGCTTGTCACAGATAAATCTCGGACAGTAGCTGTATTTGTGGACGACTTTGCGGTTTGGAGGTTTTCTTCAAAAAAAAAAATGTTTAATTAAATTTAACCGCTTATTAAGAATTCGACGGAGCCGCACGTTACGCGTATATACATCGTCTTGTATGCTTTGAGGCGGTATAAAAAAAAAAAAATCACAATGACATCGCCAAATGGTTTTAATTTTTCGCTGCTAATTCACAGGGTTAAGTAACTTTCCGAGTTCGCCCGCAATTGCCGGTAACCTTTTACGCGGTTAAAATGCTTAAAGCATATCGCCACCGCACATTCACTTTCCGACCGGGGCGCTTATAACGTTTTAACCGTCCTCTGTGTGTATTATATATAAAGATAAATATATATATATATATATATATGTCGTACTCTTGCCCTCTCTGTCTGTTTTTAAGGAGTCGAGCGCGACAAAAAACCATTAAGCGAGGCGTGTTAGGAATACGGTTTATTGGCATTGCAATCCATCGCCCACCGGCGGCGTTGATAAGGTGCCAAAATGAAAGTTTTAAAAATTTACTACACAACATTTCGTAGACGGTAATTAATAACATGAGCTATTGTCGCTACTGATCCTCCAAGTAACAATATTGTAATTGTTTCGTTTGTTATACCTAGTACCTACGACACGGTAGAGTAATAAATTTGAAAAATAATTGTCCATTTCCAGAACCAAATAAAATTGCATATAAAGTGGATTCAGAATTAATTCTAGCTTAGAATAAATGCATTGATGTCCTCAATAAGTAAGTAATATAAATATAATATGTCCCTTGACGTATCAAATGACAACTGTATTATAACACATCTTAGAGCATTGTTGCAAAGTGTTCTAATAAAAGTGTCTAAATACTATATTTAAGTATTCGAATTCGTATTTAGAGTACATTTAAAAATTGTATTTTACAATTTATTCCAAATACGTGTATTTAATGTAAGATACATTTAAGTAAACATTTTTTGCAATTTTTAAAGTTTCATAATCAACAAAAACTCGTTTAAATTAATAAATGTTAATATTTATCATTTATTTGAATACCTACATATTTTATTCATGTACATATTAGTGATGGAAATCCGAAAATCCGGATTTTCACCAAAGAACTCTATTTAAGCCACTTATAAATAGTACAAGTATTAAATATTTTTTTACAATATAAAGCTATACGTGCCCAAGTAAAATATTTTTTATGAAAATGTCAAAATAAAACACAACACCAAAAAGATAAATTGCTTTTGGATTTGTTGAAATCCGAAAGCAATTTGTAGTCAAAGTTAAGCATTTTTTAAAATTGTCTTCAAACTATTTTACTTAGATGCGCAGCTTTAAATTGT